TTCTTCTTTCACAACATGACTAATGTGGAAATGTATTTGACATCATTGTACATGTATAACCTATATCATATTGGTTGCTGCCTTGGGGAGGGGAAAGGGAAGGGAAGGAGGGAGAAAATTTTGGAACTCAAAATCTTGTAAAATGAATGTTGAAAACTATCTTTACATGTAATTGAAAAAAAAAAAGAAAATCTTAAGTGGGGGAAAAAAAGAAAGTTAGGAGCTAAAAGGTCTCCAGCATGTTCAACGAACCCTTTGCGATGAACTTAGAGTAGGACATGAACAAGAGTCTCACAGGATGGGAAGGCATGGATGGAGGACAATTTGCATTGTTGGAGGAAACTCCCAAATTAATAAGCTCATAGATCCATCTGAATTTTTGAGGGAAGGAGGGTTTAGAAGGGAAACTGCAGGAAGGGAGGGCTCAGGCAAATCATTTAACCTTTCAAAGGTCTCGGCAACTCTCTACATTGGAGAATAGTTGCTGGTCTCTCTAGAGAGAGGTTTTTCCTTGGCAGTTCCCAACTCTAATGAAATCAGTCTGGAAAAATAATAATAATGTTGCATTGCATGTTGATATGCAAAACCTTAGTGTGAATGTTACAGCATAAGGACATAAGCTGTTTTTCCCTTTGAGAACAACAAGTAGAATTGAATGAAGATAGCTTTAATGGAATCTTGAAGATGGTTAACATGCATTTTAATGAAAATAAAAGCATTAAATTTATATAAGCTCCAGGATTGTTTTTGGGTTTTTTTTTGTTTGTTTCTCACAAAAACATTTTTTAAAATAAATTAAACATGCCACTAACCACTAGACAGAGAGGTGATGAATTTAAAATGCAGAAAGAGGTATTTTCAGACATTGCTAAAGTGGGAATTTGTTTTGCTAGCAAAACAGCTATGCAGCTCTATTTCAAGAGATTTGAGTTTTGTTTTGCTCATTGAAGGGGACTAGGAATAGTGGGAGAAACAGATTAATTTTAAAATGACTTGTTGCTTGAAAAATAAAATAGTAGGCTGCATTTTTTAAACACTTCAAAATCATAGACCATTATTTATTTATGTCTGTACTTGTGATTTCATTGACTTAAGGAACTCCTGATTTGGAAACAATCTCCATTGCTTCAGATCAGCAACTCATCTGTAACTAGTAATCTTACAAGATTCTGGGACACCAAGAGGTTAAGCTTTTTGCTCGTAGTCAGTCACATAGCTAGGATGTGTCAGAGACAAGTCTTCTGTATTCCAAGATTGGCCTCATATCCCCTTTGTCACACTGCCTCATAGAAGGTTATTATTATTTATAAAAGCAGTCCCTTTTCCTCTACTCCCCCATTTACAACCCTACTGCAGATCTTCATCACCTCCCACCTGTCTCCCTGCCTCAGCTCTATCTCCATTCCAAACCATCCTCCACTCAGCTACCAAGGTAATTTTTCTAACACATTTTCTAACACACGGGTTACCTTCCCTACTCATAAACTTTGGTGGCTCCTATAGCAAGTAAGCTCTAGTTCACTGTCCCAGAGTCAAGGTGCTACTAGAACTTTAGAGTTCTAGGTATATCCCTGAGAGGTCTGGAAAGACTCCTCTAATGCTTTCTGTTTGAGTTCCCCCCACTATAAGCTACCGGAGTAAGTAACCGGGCTCTAGTCTCATTTAACCACTCACAGCATCAATTAGCTTTTTAAAAAGGTTATTTACTTTGAATATATAGCAAAAACAAAAATAGAAACCTTTTTCTATAATAACTTGGGAGCAAACTCTCTGAATGGGTTTCAGATTCAGCACAGTTTCTGCATAGCTCTGGTTGAACCAAATTCAGGTCCCAATGTGGCATCTGTGATCAGACAAGTCTCCATCTTAGCAACTGCTGGGTTGCCTATGCTGTCAATGCTGGACTGACTGCAAAATCTGTCATGGACTATATATTACCTAATGGCTTACTCTTCTGAAACTCACAGGGTTACATCGTCCAGGTTAATCTCCTTCCTCTAAAGCAAAAGAACATATACAGAAGCAGGCAAAGAACTAAATTCAAGGGCTACATCTGGCCTTGGAGAGGGAGGGCCTGAGGCCTCTCCCCTTACAGCACTGTAGCTCACCAGACTCTTATCAGAGTCAAACCAAGGAGGGGAAGTCCACCAAGAGGGAGAAAGAGGCTGAGGCTGACGAAGGCTTTTTGAAAGTGGCCCCAGTTCTGGTTCCCAACTGCAGTCAATCAAAAGAGCCTACTGTCTGCTAGGTGGTTAGCAGACTGGAAGCAGTTATAGAATACGGAGACTCTCCAAGGCATTTCTATCACATCAAAACTATCCCAGAAGCAGGTTCTCTGTAAAATGAGCTGGAGAAGGAAATGGCAAGCCACTCTAGTGTCTTTGCCAAGAAAAGCCCAAGTGGGGTCATGAAGAGTCAGACATGACTGAACAACAGCAGTCCTTCTATGGTGTTTTGTTAACTTTCTACTCTTAATGGTGCCCTTTAATAGATATTTCCTTCATTCAATCAGAAGGATTTCAATGGAAGTTCTGGCTTCTGACACATGATGGCAAATGTGATTACAGCCAAGTCACTTACACTCTCAGAAACTTTTTAAAGCTATAAATTACAGTACATTGGTAGAGGGAGTTTCCTTATCTGGTTTGAAATCACAAGCCTTGACCCAAAAAATCCCTCAAACCACTCTCACACACACAAATGGTACTTCATTATTTAGACATTTCTTAGGCACTTGTAGTCCAATTTATACACCTGTCTTATCATTTCTATTAGACTTTAAAATTCTTGAGGCCAGACACTAAATCTTAACCATTTTTCGTATTTCTGCCAATATATCCATGAACTCTCAGATCACGCCAAAAAATGTTTGCAGAGCACTGGGGGATACAAAGGCAAAACAAACAAACAAACAAAAACACTCCCTGCCCTAAAGGAATTTTACCCTGTGTTATTATTTAGAAAAACATGACTCATCTAAATGATAGAGATAGAAATTGCACAATATTGGTATTTTGAGTGATAGAAGGGGCTGCACAATAATGTTTAATCCAATAAAGTAATTGAGAAATAGTAAATTCAGAAAAGCAATTTCTATAGGACAGTATGTAAGATTAAATATTAACCAGGCACATTTTATTATTGGTGACCTTGTTATTTATACTTTATTAAAAATTGATGAGGTATCTGTTGTTATTTCCTCTAGTATCAGTCACCTGAAACCACAGAGAGATCTGCATTAAAAATTAGACCGTTTCCCCTTTCCCTGTAATCTCCCCACATCCCAAAGTAGTAATTTAGATTAGTGAAAAGAGAACTTGAAAAGAAATCAGACTTTGGGCCCCGAAGGTCCCCTTACGGGTCTCAGTTTTCTTCTCGGTCAAATGAAGGGCTGAACTAAGTAATCTTTGTCTAAATCTAACTCCAGGATTCTAAGAACTGGCTCCAAGCCTATTCCTTCATACAATGGTCCATTTTGTTGTTCAGTTGTATCTGACTCTTTCGTGACCCCATTTGGGCTTTTCTTGGCAAAGACATTAGAGTGGTCTGCCATTTCCTCCAGCTCATTTTACAGATGAGGAATCGAGGCGGAGTTAAGTGACTTGTCCAGAGACACACAGCTAGTACGTGTCTGAGGCCAAATTTGAACTCAGGAGGATGGGTCTTCCAGACTCCAGGCCGCCACTCTATCCACTGCGCCACCTAGAAGTCCCTATATACCCAGTTCCTTGCCTCTATCTCCCTCTTTATTCTTTCCTCAGTCCTCCTCCCTCTCTTTGTTCTTTGATCTCGGAGCTTTCTCTCTTCCCCTACCCAGCCTGCTTCAAAACTGACACCTCTTCTCTGCCCCGCCGCCATGTACAGCTTATTGCTGAAGGGAAACTCTCCCAACCCCAGCCCAGGTGAGCTTTTCTCCAACATAGGCGTGGAAAAGCAGATGGATATTCCTGCGTGTCATGTTTCCCTTCTCACCCCACTGCATCTCTCTTTAAAGCCTCTCGCTTTTCTTCCTAGTCTTCCCTCTCGAGGCTCCCCTCTGATCATTTCACCAATTCTGCAGCTGGCCCTCGCCTAAGGCGGTCACTCCCTGGCCCTGATTGGTGGCAAAGGATCTCCCACCTCTCTCATTCCCTCAGGCCACATGCAGTTGCTGCCGCATACGCTATGTATTACACCTTTTGCTTAGCACGCCCTTCGCTTGCTCGATCGCTCGCTGGGGACGCCCGGTTTCCTCTCTACAATCCTTCCCGTCTCCCTCTTGTCTCGGTTGAGGTGACCCTTGCTAGCGCAGACCCCCAGGTGTATAGACTGCGGACCGTGGGCCGTTTTTAGCACTTTATGCAGAAGGCTCCCGGGGGTGGAAGCCTCTCATACTCAGACACCAGAGCGCGGAACCCTCGAGGCCGCGGGGAGAGACTGCCCTGCTAATTTTGCTGGGAATACTGGTCCTTCCCCAAAGTGTTGGAGCCCAGGAAGGTTAAGGAGAGGAAACCGCGTCCCCGCGGGGGACTCTGCCTTCATATGGTCCTATTCATCCAGTGCCTCAATTACGCGCCACGGGGGAGAGACTGCCTAAAATCATTAACTCCACATACAAGTCTGGGAAGGTCCCAGCCTCCCGAGGCTCAACAGCTTTCCCCTGGAGCCCAGAATACCCAGCTCCCTGCAGCTGCTCGTAACGGAAGTTCAGCGATTGGAGGAGAGAAACACGCACACACTGGAGGAGAAAAAGCGGTTTGCACATGTTCGCTTTCTCCTGGCTTGGGCTTTTTAGCCGAAAGGTCGGGTTATCTGCAGAGGCGCTAGAGAGGAGAAAAGAGAAGGCTGCTTGGGGGGCTCCTGTCCATTAGTATTGCCTGGAGCAGGGGAGAAGGGACCTTGGTGCTGATAGGGGTAGTACTGAAGTAGAGTATCTATCCTCTTAAAATTTACACACACTCGCGTCCTCGAGCATCCTCATATTGCGGTGGTCTTAAGAATTAAAGCAACCCCTAAACCTGATGGCTTCTGCACTGAACAGCAAGATTCACCAGCCCGGGGCATGCAATGGCTCCAAAATAGCTCATCGCAGCGGCGGCGGTTCGAGAGAGGAGTACAGTCAGGAGATCCACGTGAAAATGTGTAAGAAGATCGCCCAGCTCACCAAGGTAAGCTAGGCGCGCGGTCGGAACCCGGCCGGATCCTAGCGCAGGATCCGAGCCGGGGTTCCCTCGCCGCGGCTCTCAGGCTGGCTGTGGAAAGCCCGGGGCCACTCGGGCAGCCCGGACCGAGTTCTAGCCCTTCTCCAGACTAAGCGAACAAGGTGAAACTAGGGCACAGAAACTTTGTTTCAATGAAATACCTGCTCTAAAAGGCAGCCAACGGGGTTTAGTGGACTGTGCTCTCCACCCTTTGGTACCTCACAATTAAGAGCAGTAAGCATCTGTCCTACTATAATGAAAACAGCAGGTAGAAATGGGTTCCTTCAAAATGAAACTGCTACCATGTATCTTTGACACATTATTGTATTTGCAGGGGTATTTCCAGTAACATAAGGATCTACCTGGCATTGGGTTTTAGTTTTTGTTTGTTTTAATGTATTACTTTACACCTTCCCCACAGTCTCCCTTGCCAGCTCTAGTCGTGCCTGGAATATTGTGGACTTAATTGAGTTGTGGATTGTTAAATATTTCATCCATCCAGCAAATATTTATTGTCATTTGTCCAATGCTAAAAATTTGCTAGGCAAGACATTAAACCTAGGCCAATAGGATTACACACTCCTTTTACAAGTATATTCTGTGTGAACATAAATGTGGAAAGGCCCAGTGTAACTAATAACCTATAATTCATGGGATTAGAAAAGACCTTGAGAGGTCACCTAGGCTATTTCTCAGACTTCATGCCAGGGCCATCACCAGAGCACCTCCAGATTTGGAACTTGGTCTGGATTTGACTTCAGAGGACTTGGGGTTCACATTCAGGTTCTATTGCTTAATATTCAGGTTCTACTACTTACAGCTTGTGTCACCAAGGTGAAGTCACTTATCCCTTCTGCATCTGTTTCCTTATCTGTAAAATGAGTGAGTTGAACTAGAACTAGTTGATCTCTATGTCTTTCCTGCACTGAATACTGTGATTCTAAAAAAAAAAAAAAGTCACATCTGTCTTAGGTTATCCATTCCAGTGATTTAGAACCTTCATTGTCAGAAAATCCTTCTTGATAACTAAACTAAATTCCTCTCAACGGGCAAGAAATTTTGCATTGCCTTACATTAGGAAAATTGAAAAAACATCTAGTCATTCCCCTTCTTTTGAATAAAAAGTCCATAGCACTTTAATTCATGCTGGTGTGGTGAATAGAGCACTGGACATGAAGTAAGGAAGAACTGTTAAAATCGGGCCTGACACTTACTAGTTGTGTGAACTTGGGAAAGTCACTTGACCACTGTTTGCCTCAATTTCCTCAACTGTATAATGAGGATAATAATAGCACATGCCTCCCAGGAATTGAATGAAATATTTGTTAATCACTTAGCACAGTGCCTGGCTTATAGTAGGTGCTTAATAAACACTTGTTTCCTTCCTTCAAACCATAGCTATAACTAGCATTGACTAACAGGTTTCCTCCAGGGGTCCCTTACTGAGGCAACCCACCTTAGTAGGACTGTGGATTTGGAGACCTTAGAACAATCTAGTGTAATCTATTCATTTTACATGTGAGAAAACCAACACCTACATGTTGCTTGTAGGTCACACAGGCAGTGGGTTGCAGAGCCAGAACTCAGCTCCTGGTCTTCTGACTCCAATCCCAGCGTCCTTCCATCTCTGCCTCTTTCCTCATGGGCCTCATATTTCTCATCACTGTGTGCCTCTTTCCTAGACTACCTTCCCCTGCATTACCAAGGCCTTCTGGGGGATGATGGACCATACTCCTCTCAGAACAACTGCACCACAAAAATGAACTCTCTTTCCTGCTGCCTGCTCACTCCATGGTACTATGCCCCCACCTGAATTTGCTCCAAGCATATTTTAGCTAATTATGACTCTATTCATGTTAATTTAGTTATGTCTTAATAGAGAAGCATTTGTTAAGCTCCTAGTGTATATATATATATATATATGTATATATATATATATATATATATGTATATATATATATATATATATATATATATCGGGGACTGTACTGCTCACTGAAAACACAAAGACAAAAGTGAATTCCTGCCCTCAAAGAGCTTACATTCTATCAGGGAAAACAATATGTACATGACATGAATGAGTATATACAAAATAGATATATAGTAACCTTGAAAAGGAAGGTACCTTTAACCCAAAGGTTTCATTCAGAAATGGACACTTGAGCTGGGTCTGGAAGGAAACTAAGGACCAAAGGAGGACTTGATGAGGGAATGAATGCATCCTAGGTATGGGGGCAACCCAACCTCTTTCTGCAATGTTACACAAAGACAGGTAATAGCATATTGCCTGGTGTGGCAAAAAAGCAACTTTGGCTGGGCTGCAGAGTACGTTATGGCTGGGAAAGGAGGATGGTACAAGATAGTGAAGAGCTTTAAATTCCAAACAGAGGAGATTATATTTGATACTGAGTGAGGGGTGAGGGTGGGGGTGGTGACATGATCAGATCTGCATTTTAGAAAAGTCACTTTGCTGGCAGTATGGAGAGTAAATTAAAGTGAGTTGAGACTTGAGGCAGAGAGATCAATTAGGAGGCTACTGCAACAGTTCAGAGGTGAGGAGTGCTTTAGAGCACTATATTAATGTAAAATAATATTATTTTGGCTAAATTGTAAATTATTTTGGTGCTAGTCAGTTTACCAAGAACCACCTCTACTCATTAGCTATTACTCTATGTTTTGTTATGTGTAAACATGGCAGTTTGAAACGATCAACTGACCCAGGCGTGTTCCAATGAAAATATATTTCTAATGAATTTTATTATGCAAAGTCATAAAAATTGACTAAATTTTCTAATATATCAAAAGTTCACATTTTTATTTAAGAAAATACCTCTGGTTTCAGAACCTTTTAGGTTGGTGATTCTGAAACATAGTATAATGGAAGAAATGCTGGATTTTGAATTATAGGATATAGGTTATAATACTGCTTCTATTGCTTACTACTTATCAGTCAGACATCAAACATTTATTAAGCACCTACCGAGTGTCAGCCACCGTTCCAAACAATGGACCTTGTGTGACCTTGATCAAGTCAATTCACATCTCAGGGTCTCAGTTTCTTCATGTGTAAAATGAAAATCTCTAAGATTCCTTCCAGCTCTAAATCCTAGGACCCTGTGAAATACAGGTGATCTCCTAAGCAGTTGCTATTCTCTAATATGTTTGGAGATAAGGTAATGCTGATTTAGAGCAATCCTGGGCCCTGACAAAAAATCAACAAGATTCCCAGAATAGTCTCAATTTTTATTGTTGGGCCATTGATGGAGGAGAGGACGTTTGGAATCTGACAAAGCTTTGACACCATAGCCACAGAGGAAGTTAGGAGATATGCAAGTCAGAAACATCATAGAGAATTTCCCATTGTTATACTGTAATTGTGTATTCCCAGGGAGAAATGGAGGATAGAACCCCTCCATGTGCTGCTATTTATTCCCCCCCCCACCAGATCCTCACTCTTTTGCAGTTTTATTGATGAGCAGAAGGCATACCCACAATGAGCTTCTTGTGTTCCAGGTTTATGTTGGGATAGAATGAATGTCTCCAGACTTCCCCATAACCCTAGGATAGCTTCTTCCAGTGTAACTGGCTTAATTTCTTCTAATACATTCAGCCTCTCCCATTTCTTTCTTTTCCCATTCCTCCTCACCCAAACTTCTCAGGTTTCTTGTGACATCACCATACTCTGGCTCTGATCCCAGACCAGTGAAGTCAGGAACAAGTGCCTTGAACTGACTTTTCTAAGGGGGAGGGGAGAAGTACTCTGTGGTGACTCTTTGTATCTCTATTTTAAGACAACTCAAGTTTTCTGTTTAACTGGTTCCTTAAATGATTTCTTTTTCTGGAAAAACCATTTCCCTGCTTTGTGGTATGAACTAGTTTTATAAATCCTAACGCTGTATCAGAGGATAGTGTAAAAGTTTTTGGTTGTTAAAGTGACCAGGGAACAACAATTTTAGGATTAGTATAGTACACTAACCACATCTCCAATCTAGCCAAAGAAATTTAAAATGTATACAGTGGGTGCTTTTCAGTCTTCTTTCCAAAGGGAAAACTGGTAGGGAAATTGCTGATTAGAGGTAGGGAAAAGCAATGGAAGGACTTTTACACAACCCAGCAGCACCATGCAATTAAGTAATTTTTCTCCTTTGTGTGTGTGTGTGTGTGTGTGCGCTGCAGTGGGTGGAGAAGAAGGTAGAAATTGCTTTGAGAGATGGTTGTAGGAGAGGATATGCTCTATTATTCTTTTCCTAAATCCTCCACAGAGGTTGAATGAGATGATGAGAGACTGGGAATTTAGGTGCTATTAACTGAATAAGAAAGCTGGTGGCAGTCAGAGGATTCTTGCTTCATAATTTTCAGCTAGTTGTTGTGAGAACAAGGGTTTTTGATACTAAAGTAGCCTGAAGCTGTGGAACCATAGACATATCAAAAAAGAATGGGGGTGGTTTTTTTTTTTTACTCTAATTTAAGAGAAACCAGGTAAGTTACAGAAAAGAATGCTGAAGGAAATTTGGGATGGAGTAGATTAAGGGAAATGAAATGAAAGATTGACAATACAGTTAGTTGTACCAAGGTATTATTAAAAGTTTGCTATAAAGCCTTTAAAAATGTAATAGTCTTTAAGATTATTTTTAAAAACTTTTATTGAAAGTCTTTTATATGTTTTTTAAGCATCACCTTCATTTTCAAATATATCCTCTCCTTCCTTACACAGGGAGCCACTCCTTGTAATGAAGAATAAAAAAGAAAGGAAAAATTGCTGTTCAGCAAAACTAACCAACACATAAATCAAGTCTGACAGGAAATTCAATATTATACACTCACAGTCTTCCATTTCTGCAAAATAGGGAGGGAAATAGGTTTCTCTTCTCTAGGGCTGAGAAAGCTTGGTTATTGTTATAGTTATACAGTATTGGGTTTCATTTCTTTCACCTTCCTCTTTACAGTATTGTTTACCTGGTTCCGCT